GTTTTCTTTTGCGTAAAATATCATTTCTTAATTGACTCATCCTAAGTATTTTATCATTCTTTAATAAAATTAAAAATAGGAAATAAGTAAACATAAAAATAATTACTATTTTTAAATTTTTTAATATTAAAAATAAATAAATTTGCTTACATGAAGATGATTTCAGCGTTTGGAATGTAAAAATCCCATTGTTGACTAAAGCCTCTCTACTGAGGCTAAATTAATATAAATTCCATATAAATAAAGAGCAAAATGTGATAACTCAGGTGTTTACTCTTTGCTAAATTCCAATAATCAATTATATTTCCATCAAGTTGATTAAATGTTTGAATATTAAAAGAATACATTTCTCGTTAATATAAAAGAAATTCACATAAAATATATTGAAGTGGTATATTAAACTAAACATAAAAATAATAACTAATTCATTGACCAAAATAAGTATATGAAAGAGTTTATATATTATTATTAAAAAATGTAAGACGATATTATAGATAAAGAACTAAGATAAAAATAAAAGAAGTTGTTCCTATTGTTTCCATTAGCATTTAAGTCAGATGATCATTTTATTAGAAAACTTTTATCTTAATGATCTAAAAATACTTTAATTATCCATCTAAAAGTAAGAACTACTTCATGTAATTATACAATGTCTTTTTGCAATTTATTTAATGCTGTATAAAGTGATAGAAAAATACTTTAAAGTTCATATAAATAATTTTAAAAATTTTAATCATTAATGATAACAATTATATCAGAAAAAAGAAAATTTTTATCTATAGAAATTGGCATATATTTTTGTCTTATATGATCACTTCTAGATATAAAAGGATCTTTAAAGCATTCAGATGCAAATTTTGTAACTAGCATCTAAAAAAATTAAATATATAAATAAAATGTAAACATATAAAATTTTAAATAAAAAAAATAGATCTTGAGTACTGTTTATATTTTCAAAATACTATAAAAATAGAAATAGTGACTGTTTCACTTCATTTTACCTGAAGTAGCTAAAGTTACTATTTTACCATATACAATCTTTTGTTTATCTTTTAATAATCCTGTAAAATAGGTTGACGAATGGAAATAATTAACAATTTTTGATAGCTTTAGTTAAAATATACTGATAAGTATCTGATTCCTTGAAAATTTTTTTCTATTATTAGGTTTAATTAATAAGTCATGCATAGTAAAAAAATCTTATTAAGAAATTCTACTTGCATAATCCTCCTATTTAAATAAATTTTAAAATAATAAATTTTAAATTAATTTACACTATATAAATTTTAAATTAAAAAATAAATTATCTTGTAACAGTATATTCACCTACTAAATCTGAGAAAAAACAGTTTATTTTAATATTTTCTTTAACATCAACTATTATTTTTTTAATATAATTAATTATATCATCAGTTTTTAATCTTTCATTACTAAAATCACTTGTATCTCAAATAAGAGTTTCTCCTATTGATATTATAAAAACAACACTAAATAAATATTCTTGTTTAATGTTAATCCATCTATTGAAGGCTGCAGTTACACTAATTTGATCATTTTGTGTCATTTTTGTAATTGATTGCATTAAAATTTTTGTGAATTTTGGTAAGACTTTGTCATTCATTTTTTATCAGTCTGATAATTTTAAAGCTGAAGCAATAAAAGCAAAAACATTCTTTATTTCTTGATTTTTGAGAAAAGTAAAGAATAATCCATTTTAAACCATCATTCACAAAAGTAAAATTTCAAAATATAGCATATTTTTTTTGTTAAAAATCATGATACATAATTTGTAATATGCTATTAAGTAGTAGATTCTAATGCTAATTCTTTATTTTCTGAATCAGATGATGATTCATTATTTATAATTAAAAAAAAATGTAAAACAATCATAATTAAATAAATAATTAAAAAGCTTATTAAATTTTATTATAACATTTTTACCTGATTTATCTTCAATTATGCATATATTCTTCACCTTTTTATCAATTTTTTGTTTTTTAAATATTTTTTTATCATCTTCAGGAACTTTTCATGCTAAGATTTTATTTCTTTTCTTTTCTAATACTTGACTCACAAAATTAACACATTTAGCAAAATATCTATAACAAAGCTTAGCTTTATTTGAAATAAAACAATTAGGCCTAAGTGAAGTCACAGATAATGTATATTCTTTAATACAAAATTTTACAAACTGCTCACTTATTGGTTGTTTTCTTTGGTAGATTAATTGAAGTAAAAAATTCTCAAAAGTTATGTGACTTTTTACCCATACTAAGAAAATATTTTGTTGCGCAAAATATGTTTTATATTAAAAATAAATATAATAGTTAGAATGTATTTTTTAGAGTTACGTACCAATGACAAAGAAAATTACCTAAAGGAATAAGACTCATTCTTTATTATAAACATTTGCATATTTCTTGTATTCTGTATTCCTCACGTTAAAATTTTAATTTGAGTAATCAGATTATTAAAATATTTTCTTTGTTATATAATAATTAAGTTATACTACATTTTATTAGTTTATATAAATGGTTATGCAAAATGATCATCAAATGATATTGAATAACTAATCATATAGAGTAATTTGTTATTATAAAATGATAAATAACAAATTACTGAAATAACTGGATTATTAAGAAGTCTTTTGATTGTCATTTCAAATTGCCAAATGACTTGATCATTTTCCATCACTGATTTAATATGCTTTTTAGAAATAACTTTTTAATATAATTAGCCTACATATTCAAATTATTTATATTATAATATCTAAATTATTTGTTAAAAGAAAAAGAAAATGATTGTAATAATAATAAAATAAAAGTAATTATATTTAACTTATATAAGATACTAAAATAATAAATAAAAATAGTCAAACATTCATAACTTTTTTTAAAGACAAATGAAAATTTTATAAAATTTTACTATCTATAAAAAATCTAAAATAAAAATCTGTAATAAAAGATAAGTTACATTATTAACTTAAAAAACTAAATAAAATAATTATTATATGATTAAAAGATAAATAAAATATATTTCTTTCACAAATTATGACTGCTTACTAGAAATTAAAAAATAGATAAATTTCTTTTACAGATCACAATTATTTTAATAAGATCAAAAAATAAATAAAAATAACTACTACTATAGATCAATAAAAATAGTATTAAACCTAAAATTATACTAAATATAAGTTAATATACTAAATATCTTAATATCTCAATTATCTCAAAGGATTTTCTTAAAAAAAATAAAACTTATCTTAAATTCTAATAATAATAATCACTTTTTCATAAAGTTGCTAAGAAAAGATGTATTTTTTAATTTTTTATAAGTTTTAAAAATCATAATTATTTATTACAAGTTAAATAAAAGCAAATAGATTTCTTTTAAAATCATGATCACTTTTATATAATTGATATTACAAATATATTTCTTTTTAAGATTCACAAATTCTCTTTAAAATCTGAAAATAGGATTATTTTAATTTTAAAAATAGAAAATATCTATTATAATGTTATATTATTAAAGCAATATTTAAAAGGAAATAATAAAAATTAAATACAAAAATTATCTTTTTTTATTTCATAAACAATTTTAATAAATTGCTATTAATAATAAAAATAAATTTTTTATCTGATTAATTATAATATTTATTTATAATTTTATAATTTTCATTATCAGAAAATACTGACATATTTTAGAGTTAAGAAATTACAAAATAAGATAAATTACATAATAAATAATACAAATATAAGATGATTATAAATAAGTAAAATAAGTTACAAAATATATAGAAAAATAAATTACTAAAATTACAAAAAAAGAAAATAATAAAGATACTTTTAGAATAAAAGAAAAAAAGATAATTTATGAATATATATAAAGATTATATAAAGCTCAAATAGAAAAAATTAACGAAATAAAATTATAAAATACTTATATAACCTATATTTCTAAAAAAATTAATAAAAATAATAAAAATATATATATATATATAAAAGAAAAAGAAAATCATTATATAAATATAAAAAATGTGAAAAAATGAAAGAATAATTATTGAAAATAAAGAAAGAAGAAAAAATATCTAAAAATAAAAATAATATTATAATAATACATAATAAAAATACATAATAATTTTTAGAAAATTAAAAAAGAATTGAGAATAAAAATAAGAATTATTGAAGAAAAGAGAGAAAGAAAATAGATTAACATAGAAATTAGAATTAGAAAATTTAAAATAAATATAATATAATAATAAGAAATAATAATAAAATTTTGATATAATAATAAGAAAATATTAATGAAAAATAAAATTAAAGATAATGCTATAACTAGTTACAATTGGTAATAAATAAGTATTACAGAATTATAATTAGTTGTAGTATTATTTTTAGATAAAATTAAGAATAGAAATAAGAATAAGAAATAATTAGAAAACAAAAAATCAGAATGAAAAAAGAAATATTAATAAAAAAAAATAAAGAATGAGAATATTAATGAAGAAATAAGAAATAGGAAAATAACCTATAAATTAATTGACATTAAATTAATATAAATAGAAATAGTAATTTTATTATATAAATTAATTAATATTAAAAATTCTTCCTGCTAATCCAATATAACAAGACAATCTGCAAATAAAAATAATAACTGTAGCTATTTTGTATTACCTATTATTAATAAATTACCATAAAAGAAATAAAATATTACTCAAATAACAGAACTAGAATTCTTTGCTAAAAATCTATCTATTACTTAACCTTTAATAGTTACTATGAAAATTGATTCAATTTCAAATAATACAGCTTTACCTTTTAATAAAGAGAAAAAAAAAGAAATTAATATTATATCAAATAATACTAAAAAGATAAAATAAATATTAACAATTCTTAAGATATATTAAAAAATACTCTTAATACTACTAATATTATCTTTGAAACTTCTATTATTAATGTGAAAATTTTTTCACATATTTCTCACTTAAAAAATACTTTAAGTCAATCTTCTAATAGAAGATCACTAAGATCACTGATCTCTATTGTTCTCAGTACAAGTCCTTTTATAGAGTCATATATAGAAAGTTTATTTCTGATTATACTCAAAACATTTAAAAATTGTTTTTTTAAACAAATCTGAATGAGAGATCTTCTACTCTGTGCAGATATCTAAAATAAATAAGATTATATTTTCATTATTAACAGTATAATAACAACATTCTTACATTACTAATTAGTCAATTATAATTACTAAGATCACCCTTAACATCACAGTTATATGCATTAATAACCTTTTTTTAAATATGATAATATTATTTAGTGTATAATAAAAATTTGTAAATTTTGATAATGTGTAACTAACATATTTAATAAAAAAGCAAATTTTATTGAACTTAAGAAAACTGATAGAGCTTTTCTTATCAATGATATAATTTGTATTTATATATACAATATCAATCAAAAAGAAATTTAAGACTATTTTAAATTTTCATTAAAACTCACAAATTTTCTAAAAGACTCTATTATATAATATTTTGATATAAGTAGAATAGTTAGTGCTTTGCTTAAATAATCTTTGTATCTTCTCTAATTATAATTATTTTCAATATGCATATTTCTATTTATGAATACCAATGATACTGAAGCTGTATTTTTCAACAATAATCTTACATTATATAAAATTGACTTAAATGAACTGATATTAAAAATAATTCTGAATCATATATTTATCTGCACATTATAATATATCTAATTATCTAAGAAGATATATTACTCTTAAAGATAGAAATATATAAAAGCTTTATAAAAGGTTTTATCTAGCCAATTTTATAATTATACTGCTATCAAGAAACTGATACAAAAAAGTAGCTATTAAAGATAATATTATATTTACTTTACTATTAAATTACCACTTTAAAAAATAATAAATTCTCACATTAAAATAAGTAATTATCTCTACTTTTACCTAAAAAATCTAATATAATAACTATAAAAAAAGCTAAATATAATTCTTTAAATATAAATTAGTCTAATAAACTAATAGATTTAATAAATAATTTGTATAATATCTATATCTGACCTAAGCTTAAGAATAATACTGCTAAAGGAGAATCTATAGATAATTTAAACTTTAAAGAATTTTTATCTACCAATTAAAATTATCAGATTACTTATATGAATTAAGTAATTTGTTTAAATTTTTATAGCAAAGAATAAGATATTAAAAGACCTTAAATATTAGAGTAACCACTTTTTTTAATATAACTGTATAATAACATCCTTTTTGAAATAGCTACTAAATATATAAAATTAACTTATAAATTAACACATCATACTACTTTATCAATTTTCAAAAAATTACTAATAAATAACTTAATGCGACTTGTTAGCAATAACAATAATAATGCATTTTTTTATTTATCCCACTTATTAAAAATTTAATCAATATTTATAGAACTTTTTAATCTATTTTTCTCAACAAATATTTACTCAATACTTATAATACTCAAATGTTCCTTTTAATAACTGATATATTCGATAAACAAATTAAAAGCAACCTTAATAATTTTCTGCAATAATCATCATTTATATTATGAATACTATTACTATAGATACTAATAACATTCAGAACTATTTTCTAATAACATTAAGACTTTCAATTTTCTTATTACGTCTTATAATATATAATTCTTTAATAACTCTATTAAACAAAATTATCTTTTCTTACTTTATTTAATATATCATTATGATATCATTAATCTATAAGAAACAAATTTTAAATCAATTAATTTCTTTACCTTAAATTGTTCATTTTTTGATTATTCACTTTTTTAGTACTAACTAAAATAATTAATCAGGTTTGATATTAGTTTGTCATTTAGTTCTTAATTTTCTAAACACATTTTTCAACATAATTCTAAATTTACTGTACTATTTATGTAAAATTACAATTTATTAATAAATGAAAACTGTATTATCAATGTGTACATTTCACTAAAAGCAGATAATAATAATATTTTTAAACAAGTATTTTATTATATTACTCAACTCCTTGATGATATAATCAAAGATAACTATCAAATTATTCTTCTTAGAGACTTTAATGCAGACTTAGATCAAAAAACTAATAATTTATCTTGTTTAATCTCTTTATAAATTTGTTAGCTCACTTTAATTTTTATAATATTTTTACTATTATATATAACAGCAATCATTTCAAATATATATCCTTTATTCAAAATAATTTGATGTTATACATTAATTTTATCTGGATATTTTCAGAACTTTTAATAAATAAATTCAAAGCTGATATAATATACATTAATTTCTTTATTTTAGATTACTGTATTATTACATCTAAATGTATAAATTTTTTAAAAATCATGTCTAATATTCATTATTATTTTATTAAATTTTTCTTTAATTACAATAATATAAATAACATAAAATAAATCTAAATTAGTAATAAGCTCAATTATTCAATTAACAATTGTGCCTTTAAAAGCCTTTTTTAAGTCTACAGTTTGATCAAAATCTACTCTAAATAAATCCTAAAACCTATTCTAAGATATATTAATTATCATTGCAAATAAGTATATTCTTATTAATAAATTAAAAGTCTAGTAATTATCCAAATAACCTGTTAATTTATTCTTGATTTATAATATAGTCTTCAGTAAAAAGAATGGCAAAGACAGTTTTTGACGTATATATAAACTTTTTTTTATTTTTTTATATAAAAGAATAATACTAATAAAACATTTTTTAATATTTGTATATTCACCTTCTGTATTGATACATGCTTGAATCTGATTTAACATGCTATTAATGCACTGAAGTAATATACTGTCATTGAGATCGTCCCATTCCTATTGGATTGTATTAAGGAAAACATCACAGGTAATTTTTTTTACCATTATATTCTTAATTCTTTTCTTTACCTTTCTCTTTAATATAGCCTATACATTTTTGATAGGATTCAAGTCTAGGCTATATGAAAAACAAAAAAGAACTCTTTCTAGAAGATGTTTTTTCAAGTCATTCTAAATGTCTCATAAGGTATGTTTTAGATTATTATTTTATTGAAAGACCTAATTACGACCAAGTAATCTTATTACATTATCATACAAATGATCGTTTAAAATGTTTTAGTATAAATGATGGTCTAAATTTTCGATAAATAAATGAATACTAACTTTTCCTATAATGCTAATTGCTATCTAAATATGAACCTTAAATAGATACTTTACCATAGGAGTAACTGGTTATGCATCATGTGATTATACACGAATGGTATTTTTAAACATCTGGAGTATTGTTTTATTAAAAAAATATAACTTTTCACTTTCTGGGTTAAAAGTAAAACTTTTCTTGGCATAGCAGAAACATATTCAAGATTTTTAAATTCACGACATATTATACATTTACTAACCTCAAGTTCAAAATCTTTTTCTTCTAATTTTACCTTAAGTTCACCTACAGTAGTAAAATGATTGTATTTTAAAATTTTTCTGATATAGTAGCATTAGTTTATAGACAATTTTCTTAGATGGTCAGAAGAATAACCAATAGTAATACTAGTAGTTTTATATAGTAAACTGATATATCATTTACATATACACAAAGAAATATACAATCATTTATGTATTTTCTTTGTATTATGCATATTTTGATCTTAGAGTCTCTTAATAGAGTTTTATTAAATTTTACGAGAGCTTAGCATTTTTTCAGTTAAGAAATTACAAAACAAAAACAAACTTTATTTTTTAATTTACCTTTTATATTATAATTCTAGTGTCCAATTTAGTCATATAAATAATAGTCCATATTAAAAATACAGTTTACATTTTGGCCTAAAATAGATGCAGTATTTAAATTACCATTTTTTTCGCTGGAGATGTAATATCAGAACATTATATAAGTTCTTAAAAACTTCAAAAAAAATATCTCAATTGAAACTTGATTTCTATTAAATAGATAAACTTGAATAATAAGTTTATTAATATTATATATATAAATTCATTAAACATTATATCAATAAAATCTTTTTTTACAATATTATATATTAAAGCTGTTATATTTAATTTTCAATTACTTTTATCTAGCTTACAAACAAAGGCTAAAATTAAAAAGTACAAATTCAAATTCAAAAGTATCTAATAGGCTTTGCAATATAGAATTGATAACTATAATACCAATCTCTTTAAAATAGTTGACTTTGTTTTATCAAAATAAATTGATCATTTTTAACAAATATCTTGATAATTCTAAATCTTCACTGATGTTACTTACTAATGAAGTTGATATTAAAAAAGAAGTGGTTCATCAATTCTAATGTATAATAGGATTATCTTATTAGGATAAACCTATCTTAAACAAATATCAACAGTTATATCAACCTATGTCTGATATTGATCTAAATATACATAATCACTTAATCACTGCACTGATAACAGATGAATAGTATTATATCATCAACTAACTTCCTAATAATAAAGCTTCTAAACCATCCAAAATTTCTAATGAGATACTTAAACATTTAAGACTAATCACTAGAAAATGTTTTTGATATATCATTTGTAAATGTATATGCCTTTTGTTTATTTTTATATGTTAGAATATGATTTATATGTATTTGATCTTTAAACTCAAACTATAGCAAATTGACTTAAATAATATCAAACTCATTACTCTACTCAAGTACTCAAGAATGGTATTTATGAAATTACTTAATGTTAAATCAACTGCTATCTTATTTAATATAATATATTGTCACTGGGTTAGTTTTCGTTTATCTTAACATCTAAGTTGAAAGGCTGCGGCAGCTGATTCTACACGTTGGAGTTTTCTGACCTTAGGATTTTCTCTAAGTCCTACAGGTATCCATTATACTTGAATCAACTCAGCAATTTATCACGTCTTAGAATTCAAGATATGTTAGTCGAACTCGTAATGACGAACTCAATAGCAAGTTAGTGTAGT